ATACACATTGTTATTTAATTATCAATACAGTGGCGTATGTAAAATTGATTGAAATATATACCTATATATTATTTATTTCTTACAATAAAGTTGTATAATAATATTTGGAATAGCGAAAGATGATCAGACAGCAAACAAATAGGATAATAGTAAAGATTTTCCTAACAAAAAAAAAGGAAAACAGTCACGTGCGTCTGACTAGTTTCAACGCACAAAGCACATATCCAAGCACCTTTAGAAAGCGATACGCTGATTTGAATCCTAGAGCAGGCAGTGTTAATTTATTAACTGATTTGCATGGTTCATTACATAGAATATGATGGGTGCTGTAGGTACCAATTTAAATAAGTAAATTATATAAAATAATAATTTTATTATATATTTTATGTCTTTTTAATTTTTGGTTCAAGTATAAAATAAGTATATGTGGTTGTAAAATAGTGTTGGGTTCCGGACCTTGGGCCTTGTCGTTGTGTATTCTTGTCTTGTTGTTACTTCATTTTTTTTTATTTTCTGTTTTTTTTGTTACGCCTTTTTTGTTTCTTCTCACTCCTTTTGCTAGGAAAACCAAATGCGAGAAGTTTCCATCAATAACTTGTAAGGTTGTATTTTTAACAAAAGGAGGAGATTCTCAATTCGTCGGAATATTTTTTAATGTATGTTTAGCGATAATTCTTCACCACGTTGTCAGATTTCTATGATTTTTTTTTGTTAGTACCTGAGGAGGGGTCCCATATAAATTTCGTCAAGATTTAATAATGGGGTCAACAAAAAAATCATCAATCTCTTCATTTTTATGTATAATCATCGATAAGTCCTAACCAAGTTTTTCGATTTCTTTGATTCTTTATTTGTTAGAAAGGGGTTAACTCAGGGGTGGTTCTATATGTGTTTGGTCAAGATTCGATGATGGGATCTATGAGAAAATCAGCAAACTAAATTTGGTATTCGGTTTTTTTAAAATTACTTTAATATCTTGTAAATATAAGGTTTAATATTTAGGGCAAAATTATTCTTAATGTAAGAAATAAAAAATGTACAATAATGACAGTTGTCAAAATAAATAACTTGACTTCTGAAGCAAGTTGAGTTCAATATTTACCTTCTTCTAGAACAGCTATACTTTTTTGTGGCCCGCAACACTATTATTGGTTGCAGCACTAAATAGCATGCTAATTTTTAAATAAACGTTAGGCATTTTGTGGGGTTACTGCAGTTTTGGAATTTTCGAGTTAAGTAGGTACACTTTCTACAAGTGTGAAAGAAGTCTATATTCATGATAAACAGCCAATAAAAACTAACTCCATGTTAATACATTAACAATATGGACAAACAAGATGGAGTGGCATTTATACCAAAACATATTCATAACATTGTGTTCAATTGATAAATGTGTCTACCAAAACCAGAGAATAGGCATATAACTTATTTTTACTAAATATATTTAGTGCGATTCTTAATAGTGTTCCTGCCAAAACAAGATAAAGGCCAGAACCGAGGGGAAACCAATAAGGCCAAAACGTACCTGTATTTCGAAAATCACTTAAAATTTTTTTAAGTAATTTAGGTGATTTTACTGAAAATCCACCTTAATTTTATACGATAATCTTTTTTTCTAAAGCCGTCTCTGGCCTTTCTCGATTGTTCCGAAATCCACGAGATGATTACGTCACCCCTTCTTTCCGCGATACAGCTAACCTTAAACAACCACTAGAAAATAACACGTGATGTTCGAATCTCCGTGCTGAACGAGTGATTGGTCAAGATGTAACGGGTGATTGGTCAAGCTGTAATGAGTGATCGTCAAGTCGAAACAAGCGAATCTTTATGTGAAAATTCGTAAATAAAAGTATTAGTGGTAACAAACGAATTTGAATTTTAACCATACTTTCTAATAGACAACGTATCGAAAGATTCAGCTATCCAAAATAGATTCCACCAGAAAAATAGATTTAATTTATCAACGGGCGAGGGTGGGGAATTCGGCTTTATATGCCAAACTCGCGCAGTATTTATTCAGAGGGATGCATGAAAGGATGAAACAAAGTTTTGAAAATACTTACAAAAAAGTGCAAGAAGAAAGATTTACTAAAATTTTGAAAAATCAGATATACCTGATGAATTTCACCATTTTTATCACAATCTACCTGTATCCAATAATGTTACTGAAACTTTGACTGAAGATAGTGACACATACATTGTATTATGATTTGTATGTAGAGATAAAATAAGCTAAGTGACGTTTTTTCTCTATCTTTACCAATTATTGATAGATTATTAGTTTATACTTTGTGAACAATATTTTCAATACCTTCTTCATTGAAGTTAATAAACGGTTTTAAGCTTTTACTGATTTTTTATTCAGTTTTAAACGTTTGAATAGTGTTTTACCGAAACTTTAAAAATGTGAGTTATCTTGTTTTTGCATTAACACAACGGGATATATTTATGTTTTGTGTTTTATTTATTAGAGGTCCCCACTAACTAATTTTAGGTAGATGCCCTAAAAAAAAGGTCATCATCCAAAAAAATTTGCGGCCCGTGTAATATAGCACATATACGAATGTGGCTCGAAGGAAAAAAGGTTGAGCATAGCTGTTCTAGAAGCTGCCACGAAAATGAAGGGTATCGGAAAGAATGATAAAAAATGTGATGAGAGGTGCGTACAAGTGACTACGAATTAGGGGCGTCCATTAATTACGTGAGGTGTTCAAGGGGGGAGGGGATCAAGCTAAATCTTTCCAAATCTCACTTGGGGGAGAGGGTTTTTTTGTAAATCTGATGTAATTTTTTTTCTAGTAGGAAACGGTGTAAAATTGAATTGCGTGAAAGTAAAGTTAAATTAAAGTAAATAATGTTTCTAGAATAAAATATGGCAAAATCTTATATTATGCACGAGTCCCCATGAATTGGAATAAATCTATTAATTTTCGTTTAAGTATTTATCATTTATTTTTATTACTGTGATTTTATATTACGGCAATATTCTCAAATACTAGTCTTTGCTAGTCTTAAATAAAAGTAATAGAACATGGGTTTTTTTAATAATCCACCGTATTTACACCCAAAACACAAATTTTGAAAAATCTCACGTGAGATTAGGGGAGGGCGGAGGGAGTTGAGGAAAATCTTAAGAAATCTCACCAGGGGGGAGGGAGGGTCAAAAAATCCTCAAAAATACCTCACGTAATTAATGGACGCCAATAATGTAATTTCTGTTGATACGACATACTAGATTACAATCCCAGTGGGTTACCATTTCAATGATGATGGGTGTTGCAAAAATGAGTCAAGTGGATTATTAAATACAATGGGAAGTTCGTGCGTCTACTTATGTCAAGACAAGTTTAGAAAACCTTAGTATTATCCTTATATTCTAGTAGAACAATCTTAATGAAAATTATCTTGGAGGACGATGGATAGTAGCAATAGATGGCATCAAGCTCCATCGTGTCCAAATCATGTCTTGGATAATTTTGTCGTCTTCTACCGAGCCATCGAACGATTGTCGAAACTGAATAACGAACGCAATTTCTCTATTTACTTTGATGTACATTTATTTACGATTTGTCATCATTACGTCATCATTTTAGAGAATATAACAGTATTAATTTAAATTTTGCAATCTACCCAAGTGAATTTAAAAATAAAGAAAACTTTATGTATATAGAATTCTATAATCAATGATCTAGAAGTGCTAGTGCACGGATAATTTGAATGAAGTTCTGTACATGTTCTAACAGATGTTGATGATAAGGTTGTTCTACTAGGCTATCTAAATATGGTATTACCGATGAGGGATGCATTCGGGTTTAATTTATGGATGGAAATGTATGTATAGTATTGACACGGTATAGGAATATGATTCGTATACCGTGGTATTGACAGAGGTCTAAGAAAAATGAATAAGATGAGATTTTTTGTAATAAACTAGTCTACAATAAATATTTTATATCAAATCAATTTTTGTTCTACGCTCCTGGCGGTATTAATAAATAAGCAGACGTTTCATTCATTCTCTATCTTTGTTTCGTTTTTCACAGTCGTCTGTGTTTACTTACTTTAGGATTTTTGGATCAAGTTACTTGCAATTCTTTCATTCGAGATAAGAGCCCAGAGCCGTAATCATGCTAAATTACAGAAAAATGTATAAAACTTATCGAAACTAGTAAAAATCCCCAGGAAAAAAGCCCCCGATTAAAAAACCCAGAGAAAATCCCCCCACGATTAAAATATATTTTACATGCATGTATTAAAATTTCTATACGAAGGTCCATTTACAATTAAGCAATACCAATATTTTGTAATCGTAGCACGTATCAAAACGATCTACTTTATGCACCCAGTTATTTAAAGTTGCACATTATGAAGCTTTTTGAAAATTTGAGAACGAGCTTGAACGCCGCCTGGCAAGAACTAGCACATCAAATTTGTATCTAGGAATCTCGACAGTCAATGTCGTTGATGGTCTAGAGAGAGGAAAGGGCACTTGTCTACCAAACAAGGATGTCCGGGTTCGATCCCCGGCTGCGACAGGCTTTTTTAAATACCCAACTATTTGTTTTCACCTTTGGGGTTCGGAGATAGTCTTATTAATTTTTGTGATTTGTTTACAAATTTTCAAATTATTCATCATGTAACTGCTTACGAAATAGCTATTTATGTAACCAGTTGCAAAATGTCTTATTTTGTGTAAGGAGTGAATATTTACGGGAAGAGAAGAGCGAGGTTCCGTAAAATAAACGAGTTAGACAAAATGGCGTTTCGTAACATGTTACATACAAGATTTTTTTCTAATTTTTACTAAATTATTTATAAAATTGTGTTTCATAAATTACTTTTAATCAAAAATTTTGGAAAACCATTATTTAGACAAAATTGTTGGGAAAGAAATATCTCTCTTTGTAATTAACATTATTTGAATTAACACAAGTAGTGTAAATGAATGTATGCTTAATTTTATTAAAATTCTCTCCATATGCAACTGATGTTAGTTGCAT